CCCTGCCCACCATAAATAGGCAAAGGTTTTGAAGAAAAAACTTACAAATTTTTAATCTGTAAGGTACTTAATAAAAACACAGTGGCTATAATCATAATTCCCATAAGGAGTTTAACCATGACAAATGACATGAAAACTCATTGTTGTATTTCAGCTATAGCAATATTAATCACCAAGATTAAAAAAAACTCCCTAATTAAAATTATCAACCATTTATTCATTGACTTACCTGCTATTGTAGTTTCGGGTTTTCCAACGGGAACAATATAATATAAGAGACATTTTATAAGATGATTTTATAATGAATCACCCAAAAAATCAAATACTAAGAGTATAGGACATCTGTCCACACACTAAAGACCAAAGAATCCAGCTGATGCCTGGATCCCATGGCAATGTCTTGCATGAGTCCAGCTGAAGGCCTGGAGCCCACAGTTATGTCTCATGCAGTCCTGTTTCATGGATTTATGCTGGGAAGGCCTAAAAGTCACTGGTGGAAGCTAGAAAGTCCGCACCAGCGGGCAGAAGGATCAGTGTCAGCAGGCTGAGGGATCTGCACCGGAGCCAGGAAATGACACTCAAACTAAGGATCTGAGTTCCCCCCAAAAGAACCACAGCCGTCCTCAGTGACAACGAGGACTTGAGCTCCTCCAGTGTAGCAGTCATGTTCACATCAGGAAAGCCAGCACAATAAGCTTGTCCAGGAGAACCAACCACTGCCAGCAGCTCCCAGCAGCTCCCTACAGCTCCCTTTCTTCCTGTCCAGTTCTACGTGTTATGCTGCCAACAACAATCCTTAGGTGGGCCTCCCACACTCAGCACCGCTCTGGTTCACTTCAGCTGGGTGTTGTAAGCAGACCACCAGTTGTCAATCCACTGCATCTGTCCTATCAGACAGCTCAGCATGATGAAAACCTTAGGCTCCCTGTTAGAGTCCTGCAGAGGCTTATAAATTGTCAGTGGACACTCTCTGGCCATACACAGCCCCTTTCTCATCTGCTGTAGACCTTTGCCTAGATGTGAACTGTGGCTGAGTCATCTGTTGCCCCCATGCAGACAGAACGCCAGTATTCTTACGCTTTTTTCTGCAGGTTGGATGAGGCCTCTGTTATGGCTCCTACACTTTTCCAGAGACTTGAATATGGAGTTGAACTGCCATTTTCAGTTATAGCTACCGCATTTAAAGGTTCTGTTCTACCATGAGGACACATACCATTTTGAGGAGCTACTGTAATTACTAACCTCCCGTTAACTACCCCCTACATCAGAACTAACCTGGCAGAATGAATCCGAGGCAGATTCGCAGCTGATAAAGCAGCTGGAACATAGCATCTTGCTTTCCACCTTATCCTACCATTCAGCGTTATAGCCCTTTAATGATTCACCCACTCCTTCTCCATAAAACACCATAAAATAACCCACCTGGTATAAATAAGCTCAGACTGATAAAATTCCATTCTCCCGCTACTACCCAATGAAAGACCTTCTAGGCTTCCTGTCCGTAACTCTAGCGGTACCGTATTCTAGTCCTATTTTCCCGGGACCGTCCAGGTGATCCAGATACTAAGTCTGCACCCACAAACCCCCACGGGCTCCCTCATTAAACCAAAGTGGCACTTTAACTTGCACACACACTCCTACAATCACACTTGGTAAACTCAAGACATACTAGCCCTGGTATTTCAGTCCTCGTCCTAGCTGTTATCTCTGAAGTCCACTCATCTACACGATGCAGTGTAAAAATCCACCCACTAAGCCAGTGCCTGTTGGGAATCGTTGTAGCACATACTATCCTTACACGAGTCAGAGGTCCATCAGTTGACCACCTCTTGGAAAAGAAGCATCTAATATTTTTTTAATTCTAATTCTTATAACATTAGCAAGTTTGTTAAAAATACATCAAATGAAGAGTCATCAGTGTAAGAGCCCAGTGCTCCGGCCTTGTGGCAAATGAAGAACCACTATCACGAGGGAAGTCCAAGGACCAGCCCCAGAGTCCCCTCAGCACCCAGAGCTGCGGTGCTGCTTAACTCATTCCCTGAGCTTCCTGCCTTCACTGCTGAGTGTCACATGAGTACTGAGAGGATGATGATACCCCTTAACCATAGCTTCTCGTGCTGTGCATACTGTGCATTCTGCTTCTTCCACATCCATGATGTGCTAAATATTCAGTGCTTTATCATCCAGGAAACATGTGTAACCAACATCAAGTCACTTACACCATGCCTATGTGCATGTATATGAAACTGTCCCTAGTTTGTGTCTCAGTTACCGACCATGTGCATACTCTTAAGATCATTTCTTTCGTCATTAACGTTACATAGGACCTAACACCACCGGTGGTACATAGCACACACAACCAAACCAACCCTCCGTAAGCATATTGCCTCCACTTTTGGTCCCTTAGCCTTCCATTTGCATGGAACCCACCACCCTCCAGGGGCGTGTCCCTCTTCTTGCTCCCAGCCAGGCCATGTGCTTTCTGTCCTGAAACTTTCCTTGGCATCTAGGTCTCACATCAGGGCCATTCAACCTGAGATGGCTCCCACGTTCCCCTTAAGACACCCTAGTGGACTAATGACTGAAGGCCCCCAATCACATGTAATTCTGGGGTTGCGCATTGGGTATTTTTTAATTTGGAGGAATGCTGTATCTCAGCATAGCTGTCAAGGTATGATGGTAGTCAGTTACCTTGTAGCTAGATTTACATAGAATATTGCATAAAAACTCTAAAGGTACTAATTCAGCCTTCGTACATGTAACCATTAGGGCCAGGGGATAGCTCAGCAGTATAAGCACCTGCCTGGCAAGCACAAGTTCCTGAGTTTAATCCCTAGTATCAAAAAAGTAACAGTTTATGACACACATAGGCACATGTATGTACACATATGGGCACACATTCCATACATTATACCTAGGTACACATACCTCTATGCACATGTACACATGTCTATGTACATCTATAACTTGCTATAAATTATTTCCGGAAACTCCTACCTCTGTTTTCCAATTTTACATGAACCTGATACACAATTTCTTTTTTTTTTTAGTTTTAATCTGTGTATTTGGTTCAGGGTCTCGATATGCAGCTCAGACTTGCAGTGATCCTCCTGTCTTAGCCTCCCCAGTGCTGGGATTACAGGCATGCACCACCACGCCCGGTCTCAGTGGCTGGCTTGGCGCGGAGCCAGAACAGCATGCAGTACTGGGGATCGAACCCAGGTCCTTGTGCTTGCCAGGCAGGTGCTTAGACTTCTGAGCCCCGACCCCACAATTTCTTCAATATGAGCAAACCATACATAAAAATATGTATTGATTTACTCTTGCCAAACCTCCCTAACAAGAGGCACACACAGAACAGTTGAGGTCAGTTGTAAGACCCAGCCCAATTAAAACTTTAACTAAAACCAAATTTTCACCTAGCCCACTTTAATTTTAGGTACAGAATCTTAAAAAATCCCTAGGCTTGCTGAACTAGCAAGTTCTTCTCCTTATTTTCTAGAATCCTAATTTTTCCCGGAGCACCTACATAGTAATTACACATCAACTCATTTTTAAAACTTCTCTATATAATTAAAAATTCAATTTCAACCCAATTGCATCCACTTCCCTGTTACACTAACACTTAAAGGTGCATCAGTTGTCTTTAGACTTCCTGAACTAACAAATCCTGTTCCCTTGTTTTATGAAATCCAATTTCTTCTTGCTGATAGTTACATAATAGCTATAAACTAGCCTCATTTAAGAGTCTGTCTGACCTATTCCCCAATGATTAAAGACCTCAGTGTAAAGATAAGACTTACTTGGAGCATGTGTCTGGTACACTCTGAAGCCCACAGCGCTCTGGAATACTTTCCATTTTACCACCTGGCACAGCCCAACTCTTTTGCATTAAACAGGCAGCAGAAACTCCCAGAATTAAGACAACACTCGTTTCCCCCTTCTGCTCCTTTGCCAGTCAGGCAGTGGAGTCTTAGGTGGCGGGCCACGCGGTGAGCAGGGCCAGGGAGCGCGTCTGAGGTTGGCCTCTCTTCTGAGCTTGTCTGGTTGTTGACAAAGTACATTTCCTTTTGGCCTAGCTTCTTCAAAATCAGCAGGAGAAAGAGAGAGAGAGAGAGAGAGAGAGAGAGAGAGAGAGAGAGAGAGAGAGAGAGAGAGAGAGAGAGCGAGAGAGAGCGAGAGAGAGCGAGAGAGCCAGCCAGCCAGTGACAGACAGTGTTGAGGCTGGGTGTGAAAGAGACTTTCTTATTGTTTCTGGTGTTTGAGCTCAGGAAAAACCAAAATTTCATTTCATTTTTTTTTTTTTTTGTGAGGGGGGAAAGTTTGTTTTATTTTGTTTGTAGTTTGCCCTCTGAGACAGCGTGTTTACTATGTGGTACAGGCCTGCCTTGAACTCATGTAGCCCAGGCTGGCCTCAGACTCACCAACAGCCCTCCTGCCTCAGTCTCCCCAGCTCTGTGTGCACCACCACACCCAACCAGAATTTGCCCTTAGAGGAGTCATTAGATGCAGTGAAGCCAAGCCACAATAATCTTCCTTTTCGTCAATATGCGTGGGGATTTTTTTTTTGGGGGGGGGTACTGGGAACTGAGCTTACATCACTAACCCTTTTTATTTTTATTTTTGAGCTAGGGGCTTCCTGAACTGCCCAGGCTGGGCTTGAACTTGCAATCCTTCAGTTGCAGCCTTCCACTGAGGACTTCTGCAAAGTCCCTTCAGCTTTGTTCTGTAGAGAGCCTAGTCAGGTCATGCCCAGTAAAGAGGTGGAAATGTTGGGGCTGGAGTGTGCGGGAGTGGGTGGCAACCCACAGCCTCGAACACTCTGCCACCTTCAGCAAGGAAGCATCTTCTTTTTAATTCTGAGGCTGGAGCCCAGGCCACCCCGCTGTGTTCCCGGTGTCCTCAGGGACACCCTTAGGCAGAACTAGCCAGGCAACATTAACCCATCCATGTGTTGCTGACATGTTTTGTCACTGAAATGCATATATTGTTTTTTCTAGGGATTTCAGACCAAGACCTTAAAGACATACTGGAAGGCGGCGGCTACAGACCTGATAAGAATAAAGGTAGGCATGTCCGTTGGTCCAGTTCTGTGTCTTCTTCTCATTACAAAGGTGAACTGAACTATTCTTTTTCTTTTTCTTTCTTTCTTTCTTTCTTTCTTTCTTTCTTTCTTTCTTTCTTTCTTCCTTTTTTTTAAGAGTCTTCACAGAACTTATTAGCGCTGCTTCAGTACATATTTGCAGGGTCAGTCAACATATAAATAAAAGTACAAATTAAATTGAAAACATTTTTAAGCAAGTAAACTTTCTGAAACATTTTGGGAAGGATTAATTATGTGCAAGTTATATAATTTGCAGCTACAGTTTTTTTTAACACTTTATTGAGAAATATCAATGAGACAGTTTCAAAACTGATTAATAGGACAATTTCAATAATCAATTCATTGTACATTGTTATCTTCTTAGTGGTTATCCATAGTACAAGATGCAGACAGGATATCCTGTTCAAACACTATTAGTACAAATCGTTCTTCTCATTGAATTAAGCGAAAGTAGCTGTATAGCTATCCTAACTATCTGCATATACTCATGCAAAGTGGTCCTGAGCTATTCTTTCTGAGCCACTGGGAAAGGAAAGAATGTCCCCAGGCACCCCAGGGTGCAAGTCATGGGTCTCTGGGTACAAAGCCACACCCATCCCAGCTGGTCCTCTGCCCAGAGTGCCGCCTGGCTGGTGTCCCTTCCTTGAGTCTACTTGGGACTGGAGCCTGTGTTCTGCAGACAGCGGAGGAATGTGCATGTGACAGAATTTGCTTAAGATGGCTTTTAAAATATCTTTGTATTTTGAAATACAAGGTGTCATCCCAATACAGAGTAAATGTTTGAATTTTAAAGCTATTGCAGTCAAAGACGCATTGCCACTGAGCCCCCGAAGCCCCCGCCACCCCTCCCTGTCCCCAGAGCAGTCCCAGGGGCCTCCTTTCCTGAGATTCTTCACAAGGCGTGAGCAGAAGCACAGCGAGTGCTGCTGCCCAGTGCCCGCAACAGAACGGTGGGCTCGTGCCAACGTGGCACCGCATCCACATCCACCTTTCGCACCTGATGTGGCACCACAGGACTTCTGGTTCTTTTGCATTGTCAAAATGACCACGAAAGGCAAACGTTTTCGCAAAAAATCTTTTCAGGATATGGAGGCAGCTGGGGTGGCACGACCTTTAGAAAAGAGTGCACCAGAGCTGCTGCAGAAAGTGCCACAAATGATGACACAAGTTCCACGTGAGGGGGAAGACTGTGCGGGGGTCGTGGGAGCATGTCTTTCACTGTAACCAATTTTTAAACACAATTACACATTCACTGTATTTTTGATCCGATTTCATATCGTGGGACTCTAAAGAGGCTGTAGAGATAGTTCAGGAGAGCTCCTGTGTACGTGCAGCCCAGCTGCGCTGGAGGTTGCCTCTTGTGGAAGCACAGCACACTGTCCACGGGGAGGCCGAAGTCACGGTACTACAGACCTCCTGCAGAGCTCATCTTGGCAAGCACTTGTGTGTGTATGCGAATCACTGAAATTAGGGCCAGGGAGATAGCTCAGCAGCATACGCACCTGCCTGGGAAGCGAGAGGTCCTGAGTTTGATCTCTGGCACCAAAAAACAAGAAAGAAAATCAATGAAATGGCATTGCGTGTGTGCTGAATAACCATCCATACAGTCACTGGGCAGAGTACCTCCATCCGCATGAAGTGTCCTCATGTTGCCCCGCGTGGCCTCCCCAAAGCACATCATTTTTTTTCTCTTTTTGAGACAGGATTTCACTTCCTAGTTCAGGGTGGCCTTGAACTCACAGTGATCCTCCTTCCTCAGCCTTCTGAGTGCTGGGATCACAGGCATGCGCTGCCTGGTTTCCAAGGCATGGATTTGGAGTCTCCCCCTAAAAGAACTACAAGGATGGAAACCTTTTCATTGTGGTATACATCAGACCTGGCCCTAAGGATGGTGGGGATTTTCAGCCAGACACGGTAGTGTGGCAAAACGACTTAGTGTGTTACTTGCGGCCTGATCTTGTACTTGTTGTGGTGACACGTGGGGGTGTGAGGTGTGGTTGTAACTCTTGGGTTCTAACGGTGGTGTTCCAAGCACTGCGGAGCCCCAGAGGCCTGGCGGTGATAGTAGCAGCTGCTCATTTCTTGAACAAACTGTGTGCCTTCCATGTAGGACCGGCGTTTTCTTCCGATCAAAGCAGGCCAATGTCGAATCTGTCCTTTGAAACACCTGCCTCCGCAATGCTGGCTTTAGGAAAAGCCCCGCAGGCCTTGAAAGGAGGCTCACGGTGTCAGAAGAACATGGAGCGTTTAAAGGGCAAAGGCAGCAAACGAGCCACTTACCTCCAGGTGATGAATGGCATTTGCAGATGGGAGCTGAGGCCAGGATGAAGGTCTGAAGGACATGCTGGGCTTTTCTTCATGACAGGACTTGTTTTAGCCATGCAGAAGTGATAGGAAAATCTTTAATTAGGCTCATGCTAGAACTTCACTTGTAAAGAATAACCAGTTGTTAACTTCAGTTACACCCTCGGTCATCATGGGTGTCAGTAGCAGAAGATCCAGGCACCATGTCAGAAAGGACAAGCGAGAGGCTGAGACATGCTTGTGATTCACACAGGACAGGATCCCGAGATACACTCCGTAAATGCAAGGGAAGGCATCGAGTTTGAACACACTCCACGTGTTAGCAGAAAAAGAATCCGATGAATGTGTCCCCCAACTTGGGCACCTTGCACCTGCCACTGCCTGGGGACTCTGGCCCACGTATCCAGGCCAGTGTGTCTCTCTCTGCCAGCGGGAAGGGGAGGCATGGGATCTGAGCATACTCACGGCTCCTTGGGGCTCACATTTCTAGAATGTCACAGCAGGCAGTAGTGGGCAGTGCCAGCTGTGCGCAGCAGCCGTACATAGGCTCAGCCACGTGCCATCCTCAGTTTGGGCTGCAGAGCAGTACCAGCTTAACTGAGCTGTCACAGTCGCAGAGCTGCAAGACCACAAGCAGGCTGGCAGTTTGGAGATGCTCGCAGCAGGTCTCTCCCTGTGCCCTCATGTGACGAATAGTGACAGGCAGCAAGATCCCAGGTCACCTCTTGTGAGGGCCCCAAGCCGGACCCCACTGTGACCTGCCACCCATTTTGATCAGTGTGCACTGCAGGGCTCCCTGGGTAGCAGCGTCCCCACTGCTAACCTGTCGCGCTTTGCAGCATCGCCAGCTGGAGCCCCGCGTTCCTCCAGCTTACTTGCCAGTACTCTCTTAAATGGTGCTGTCAGGAGTTCTCCCACAGAGGTGGAGTCATGCTGGGCTGGCCTTTCAGGAGTGGCTTATGCTGCTTGGCACAGTGCCCTCGAGGTCTGTCCAGGTGTTGACAGGAGCCAGCAGTCCTCTTTGGCTACATATTTCATTGTATCAATGGATAACATTTTATTTTATTTTTTTT